AGTTGTTCTTAGTAGTCCTGACACAAAATCGATAGTAATATCAGTCCATGGGGCTTTTGGGATAGGGAAAGGAAGATACAAACTTGTATCCTGATAATGCCTCTTAAATGTTTGGCACTTGTGACACTTATCAACATAGTATAACATATCTTTTTGCACCATTGGCCAAAAGTCTAGTTTGGAGATCATTTCAAGTGTCTTCTTGCCACCAAAATGTCCCTTACAATGCAAATCAACAATAAGTAGCTCAATCAAAGACCCTATTGGAATATATAACCTATTGCGTGTGAATAAGTAGCTGATCATTCTTATTTATCAAAAAAAAAAAGTGGCCATCATTCCACAGACTTGGGTCGAGTATCCTTATCACTTGTTGAGTAGCTTAGACAAATAGAGCCATAATAGGATCATCATGGTGCTATTCTTTGATGGAGCTGAATCCGATAATATTAGTAGACATGGTGGTCACAAAATGAACTCTCCTACTAAGTTCATTGACTACTCGATTTTGCTGCCCAGCAGGCATTTGATTCAAAACAAAGTTATACTCTTGTAGAAAATCAACCTATTTAGCAATGTTCCCTTTAGTTTTTGTTGTGAGTTAAGATGCTTCAAAGCTTCATGGTCTGAATACAACACACAGTCTAGTTGAATGATGTGGTGTGTTCAAATCTTTAAGGCATGTATAATGGCATAAATCTAAACACTATAAGTAGAATTGCTTTCTAGCATCTTTGAGTTTTTCACTAATGTATCTATGTAATTCCTTAATTTCTCAATTATTAATAAAATCTATTGTTATTGATAAAAAAAAAGTTTCTCACTAATGTAAACAATTGGACAACCTTCTTGACTAAAGACAACCCTAACCCCAACATGTGATGCATCACATTCAACTTCGAAAAGCTTATTGAAATTTGTTAAAGCTGGGGCTTTTGTCATCCTCTTGCGGATAGGGACGTCAAGGTTGGTAAGGCGCTGGGATTATTTTTTAGGTGCAAAAGCTTTCGCTAGAAGAGCCCTTGAAGATTTTGAAAGAAGAAATAGTGAGGAGAATCGAAAGATGATCACTTTGCGTGAAGGAGAAAAGAGATAGGGATGAGTAGTTTGGCTTAAGGTGGAGTTTCCTGGAGTGTGCCTTTGCTCTTTTGGTTTTAGGAAGTTCATCTTCTTTCTTTCTTTTTTTTTTGATCAGTAACAGTGAAATTTTATTAATGATAAAAGCAAGATTACAAAGGGATGGAGCTAAAAAGTCTTAACTCCAGTTACCCAAGAAACTTTCTGATCTTGTAGTGATTACAAAACAGCCCAGAATAGTGTCTCTATTTACCCCTTGCCTAGCTAGACCATCAGCCAATGCATTTGCACTTCTCTTAACCCAATTGCATTGAATTTCCATGTCCTTGGTTAACCACTTATACTTCCTCTTTTCATTGCTGTATTTCTACATCATAGCACTGTCCTCTGTTAGCCATTTCACTACCATTTCAGAATCACCTTCTATAACCACCTTTTTGATTTTTATTTCCTTGACCCTTTGAATCCCTTCAATAGTTTCAAGAATCTCAGCCCTCAATGAGTCTCCTACCCCAATCAGCCCAGAGTACATGGCTAACAAGTTTCCTGTTCCATCCCTTATCACACCTCCAATTCCAGAAGGCCCTGAGTTGCCTATGCTGCTGCCATCAAAATTCAGTTTGGTGAATCCAATAGGTGGAGGAGTCCAGCAAGCTTTTTGATAACTTTCTACATATGCCTGAATCTGCAATCTCCTTCCAATTCCTTAACAGCTCATCAACTGAGAAAACTTTGAACAGCTCCAATGTTCTCAACCATTGTATCATTCTAATGTGTATGATCTCCATAATTTCTTCCACACCTCTCTCTTTACTTGAGATGATCCTTGATTTCCTCTCCTCCCACACTGTCCAACAGACTACAGCTCTACCACACCTCCACATGATTTTATCCCTTTTAGTTGGCTAATTAGGCATGGAAGAAAACAAGCTTGGAACATTGAACGGGGGAGTCCACCTGCGTCCTAACAAAGAAGCAAACCATACCCAAAAAGCTTTAATAAACCGACAAGAAATTAGTAAGTGATATCCGGACTCACCGTCAGACTTACAGAGAACACACCAGTGAGGAGACAAGCAGCTGTTGGGTCTTTTCTTTTGGAGTAGATCCCCTGTATTAAATCTTCCTAGCAAGTCTTCCCAACAAAAACTCCCAACCTTAGGAGATATAAGTCGACACCACACTTCTTTAACAGGGAAGGAAAAGCCAGTGGGATGAAAGGGTAACAGTGCTTTGAAAAAGGAGGCACAAGTATAGGAACCCGAGGGAGTGAGTGTCCAGATTCTGCTATCTGCTTTAGATGGCTCAATAAAGACCCCTTCAAGGATAGATAGTAAGGCTATAGTACAGGCAAACTCTGTGTCCCTAACAACTCTTCTCAACCTTGGATTCCAACCGATCCTAGAGGGTGAATTGGAAGGAACAATAAAGGAAGAAATTGGTTCGTTCTTGAGGGAAGACAAAGAAAAAAGGCCTAGAAATTGATCTTTCAGAGGGGTTTCCCCAACCCAAACTTGTTCCCAGAATTTGACAAGGTTACCAGAATGCAAGTCATACCTGATCCATGGAGAGAATAAAGGCAGGATGGCTTGAATGACTCTCCAAGGGGAAGCTCTTGTAGCCCTTGCTAGAATTCCTGAATCCCATCCATTATCTGCTAGTCTATGTATACTTCCCACCACCTTAACCCACAACCTATCTTTCTCTAGTGAGAATCTCCATAACCATTTTCCTAGTAGTGCCAGATTCCTAGTCCCAATATTACCAATACCCAACCCTCCTCTTTAGCTCTACAGACCACCTCCCATTTGACCCTATGGTCCCTCTTCTCCTCCCTCGGCTCCCACAGAAAATCCCTCATTAGCTTCTCCAACCTATTGACCACCTTCACCGGTATCCTCAAAATTGACAGAAAATATACAGGAAGGTTAGCCAACATAGACCTAATTAAGGTGATTCTCCCTCCAAGGGACAAATAATTCCTTTTCCAGTTAGCCAGCCTCTTTTCAAATCTCTCCACAACAGGGGCCCAAAAATCATCTCTCTGAGGATTATCTCCCAAAGGTAAGCCCAGGTAGTTTAATGGCCAATTAGACACTGCACATCCCAAAATATCTGCATACTCCCCCATCTCCCCTTCCCCCATGTTGACTCCAACTATACAACTTTTTTCAAAATTCACCCTAAGATTTGACATCTGTTCGAAGAGCTGTTTAGAGAGTTTCAAATTTTTAGTCCAATTGACATCCCCACCTTTGCAAAAGGGGGATAGAGGGTCTCCTTGTCTGATCCCCCTCAAAGCTGGGAAATAGTCCACCACTGTCCCGTTCACCAAGATAGAATAATGACAATCCTTAATGTATCCAATAACCCAATTGCACCAGATGTCTCCAAACCCAAAGTTCATCAACTCCAATAAAAAGGACCAATCAACCATATCATAAGCCTTTTCCAGATCTAGTTTGCAGACCACTCCTCTTCTCCTGGATCTCTTGTAACCCTCTAAACTCTCATTTGCTACCGGTATCTGATCTGTTATTTGTCTCCCCCTCACAAATGCTCCTTGATTGTTCAAGATGATAGATGGTAGCACCTTTTTGATTCTAATTGACAGCACTGGTCTTGTTGTTTAGTTTGGGTTGGGGTTTTGTTGGCAATGAGTGAGTTATTTTTGATGTTGGACTCTCCTTATTCTCTTGAGTGATTTCTTATCAGCTATCACCTTTCTCTTGTATTCACCTTTTTCTTTTAATAATTTTTTTCTTTTATTATAAAAAAAGCTTTTCGTAGCTGTAGGAGTCTAAGTAAACTCACCTCCTTTCAAGCACTCAATAATGGGTACCACAATTGTGTTGAAGTTCTTTATAAATAAATGATAAAATGTTGCAAGCCCATGAAAGCTATGAATTTAGTTAAGGTCTTTAGTGTTAATCACTCTTGAATAGCTTGAACCTTTTCTTGTTCCATTCCAATGCCCTTTATTGAAACAACATACCCCAAATACACCAACTGATTTGTCAAGAGTACACTTTTTCAAGTTTCTCTCAAGTGTTCCAAATGGATGTCATGAATTTCAAAACAATCCCCCAAAGATAACTTCAGTTACAAAAACACCAAATGGACCAATACCAATAGTGGTGTCCCCAGAACCTAAATTATAAACATAACTATTTGGGATCTTACTACAAAAGCAAACAAATTCAAAACATATTTACATCATTTATTTTTATTTTTCTTTGTTCTATTCTTTTTTGGGCTTATCACAACTGAATCATCTACAGCAACTTCCCCTTCCACAGCAGAGTTCACTATTTTCCACAGATGAATTATCAGGTTCTGCCTGCCATCCTCAATTAACAATTATACTATAATGCCTCTAGATTCATCCTTCCTCAAGATCCAATGGGCTACTCTAATACTGATTGAGTCGGAGGTGATCTAACGGGACTGGAATTTAATCTAATAGTTTATGGTATTCCTTCTCTTTCCAAATTCCCCACAGGGCTACTGCAAAGTACATCTATTACTGCCTGAAGCTGTTTTTCAATCATATGATAAAACTCCTATATATGCAAATCCATACATGTGGATTGTGGAGTCATGTACATCTTTGAAAATCATTTTAATTGGTCAGCTACAAGAAAGCAATATTTTACAATAACAAGCTTGAATTCCCTACAGGATTGTTTTTAAGAATTTTGTGCTTTTAACAGCCTGAAGGAGCAAGTTAATCTCATGAATGAAATATTCAGTTTCTAATGGATGTTTTTCAATTTAAATATTTGTTGTACCTTGTTACTTCGAAATGACGTTGTAGTTTATCCTTCTTTTGTGTCTAGTTTTATTTATTTATTTTGTCAACGTATTGCTGTGTGATTTATCAAGAAAAAAGTTGGCGTGATTTTCTTTTCTCTCTTTTATAGGTGGGAACTCCTGGGCGTCTTGTGGATCATCTGTCCAACACAAAGGGTTTTAGCCTTCGCACATTAAAGTACTTGGTATATTTATCCTTGCATTTGTATATTGGTTTCAAATACTATTTGTTTTGATACTTGTTTGGTTATGATCATTAGTTAATAGTTTTTTGCAGTAACTTCAATGCTGGTTAGCTTTGATCAAATGAAAGAACATTATGAGTATGCTAATTTTTGTTGTAATTTTCTCATTCATTGAGTCCATTTTTTTTTAAATAATTAGGATCAACTAAAATGATGCAAGTAGAAATCTGTGGGTTAGTAAAAGATACTGATAATGCCCATGTCTCATATTCTCATTAAGTCCATCCTTATTTTAAATTTTGAATGTGTATTATTGTATTTAACGGGCAACATGGGAGATCAGCCAAACTCTTTTTGACTGATGAATGCTAATGGAATTCTAGTTCTCTTGTTATGTACTTGGTAGACTTCTATATTTTGATTTGCTTGGAAGTGCTTAGAAGCTCAATGTAGTTGGTAATTTATCTATAAGACTTAATTCTTGACTGCTTGCAAGTATTTTTTAAGGTTGAGGGATTGAGAAAGCTTAGATGTTGCTTGTTGCTGGACCTTCTTTCAGATGTTTTCCTTGATCAATTGGGTTTTGATACAAGAGTGAGATGCCTTAATTCACATTGGTGTTTCTCCCATGTTTCATTCTTTAAGGCCCTTGACCTCTCACTACATCCCATATAGAAATGGTTGAAGGTGACAGTCCTCTGTTCAGTTTGTTAATTAGCAATTACTATTGCTTGTCATTGACCTTGTCAGTGATAGATGCCCTTTGAGTTGTCATCATAATGGAATGATGGCGTGATTAGAGGTTGGTACTGATGAGAAAAAAGTAAAAAAAAAAAGTAACGTGCTAACAGATCACTACAATCTTTCGGAGAATAATTGAGCAAAGGTTATGGCATGACACAAGTTTATCAGAGAACTAATTTGGGTTTATGCGAAGGAGATCAACCATGGAAGCTATCTTTCTTTAGAGATCATTGATAGAAAAGTTTTGAGGGAATAAGAGAGATCTTCACATAGTGCTTAATTGATCAAGAGAAAGCACATGATAAGAGTCCCTAGAAAGATAATATGGTGGGTTTTGGAAAATAAAGGGAGTTCTAAATGAGTATGTTGACCTAATTGAAGATATGTATAGGGTTACAGCAGAAGGTGGGCCTTGGTGCAACGGTTGGGTTGCTCCATTCTACCTGGGTAACCAGGGTTCAAGTCTTGGAAACAACCTCTTTGTGTATTTCTGCAGGGGTAAGGCTGTGTACTTCTGACCCTCCCCAGATCCTGCATTGGCTGGAGTCTTGTGCACTGTGCTGCCCTGTGCCCTCTTTATAAGGGTGCAACAGCCAATGTTAGAACACGTGGGAGAGACACCAGATCCTAAAGTTACAGTGGGTCTTTCCCAAGGCTTAGCACTTAGTCCTTACTTATTTTCACTAATCATGGATGAAAACGGGAAAGGCTATGGGGTACAGTAATCTAATAATTGAAGGGGATTCCAAGGTTATATTAGGACTGCTGGGAAGCAATGAAGAGGGACCATGGAAACATGGATCTGAATTCAGAGAAGCTAAAGAGACAATAAAGGAATTGGGAGCAACATACAGTGAACACCTAGGACTACTAATGATCTAGCAGATTGACTTGCAAAATAGGAAGTGACAAGGATACAATGTATTGGGGAATTGTAATTTATTTGATACTGAATGTTACACAGCTGGTCCCATTTATATTTATGGACAACAACCTTAGAAGCAAGAGGTTTTAAAATAAATTGGATTAAAGAGAAAATATACTATATAAATTTAATAATAATAGGAGTGCAAATCAGCGTACACATCATTGTCATCATCATCTAACCCTGCCCAACTATATAGGGTTTGACTATATGATTCCTATTTCACCATTCCATTCTATTAAGTGACATATCCATCGTTAAATTATGAGTGCTTAAATAATTTCTTGTTACTTCCACCGGAGTTCTTTTTGGTCTGCCCTTAGCTATTCTATTTCCAACTTGTTACAAATCACTTTTCCTATCAAGTGCTGTAGATGGTCTTCTATGCGTGTTATGAGTGCTTAAATAATTTCTTGTTACTTCCACCAGAGTTCTTTTTGGTCTGCCCTTAGCTTCTATTTCCAACTTGTTACAAATCACTTTTCCTATCAAGTGCTGTAGATGGTCTTCTATGCGTGTGATACTTTCTCTCATTAGTCACCTATTGGAGCTACTTCTATGTTGCTTCATATGACTTCATTTCCATGTTAACATTAGCATTTCCGTACACTTATTTTAGACATGCTGCTTCTTAACTGCCCAGCACTTTGCTCCATACAAACATAGCTGGCCTTACAACTACTTTATACAACTTTCATTTTGGCCGAAGTGGTATTTTCCTATCACACAAGACTCCGGATACACCCCTTTGCTTGTTTTTTCAATTAATTCTATGTTATCAGCAAACATTGAGTATGTTTAGTTGACTCATCTATGTTTAGTGGAAAGCAGTTGTAAGGCCAGCAATTCTGTATGGAGCAGGGTAGTTTGTATTGTTATTTAGCTTTTATTGTCGGTATGTTGGCTGTTTTGGCCTACTTTTGGGTCTTTCTACCTTCCTTTAAATTTTACAGGTAGGAGGCTTTATAGTTCCATTTCCCCCCTTTTTTCCTGCAATTCAGTATAATTGTTCTGATCCAGATTCCAGAAAAAAATCCAAAATTGTTTATATGTTGGCTGTTTTGGCTTGCTTTTTGTCTTTCTGCCTTTCCTTATATTTTACAGGGAGGAGGTTTATATCTCTATTTCCTCCTTTTGTCCTGCAATTCAATCTAATTGTTATTGATCCGGATTATGGGAGAAAAAACTATATCCAAAGTAGGCTTTTCTAGGCAATGTAAGACTCCAAAAACCAAAGTTACATAAATACCCCGACATTGTAATATGACGGATATGATCTCTCTCTGAAAGTTTGAGTTTCCAGATGAGCATGAGAAATGCATAAATATTATAATAGTATGCTCCAGAGATGCTGGGCGTTTGTGAATGTGGCATGTTGTTGCCACTGTTTCTGCATCTTCTTCCATTTTAGATTCTATACCATTAGTTAGGACTTAGGACTAGCTTGTACTTTCTAGTTTTTGTTTTTTCATTCATTTTTATTTTTAAGTGAAAATGGAGATTTTTTTTAAGAACAAAGAAATTGGAATAAAAAGAAAAATTGCTATCTTTTCAGTTTAATGACTTTTTTGACTACATTGATTCCTTATTATGTTTGAAATTAATCAACTTGAAGTTAAAAAGAAAAGGTCTCTGATGGCTACAATTATATATCGATTAAAACTATCAGAGCTTGAAAGGAATTATCTAGCACTAAGCATAGATAGCAAGTTCATGTATGTGTTTCTGTTTTTATGTTTTCCTTGGATACAATAAATGGCATCTAGTTCCTGTTTATCAAACCTAGGAAACATGGTTTTCCACTGCATTGCTTTCAATTAGCTTTGTGGTTTGCCTATATTCTTGCAGGTCCTGGATGAGGCAGACAGACTGTTAAATGAGGACTTTGAGAAGCCAATTGATGAAATATTGAAAGCTATCCCTCGGGAACGAAAAACATATTTATTTTCAGCCACTATGACGAAAAAGGTTAGTTCACTCTAGCATGTCTACAGTTCTACATAAGTATATGCCTTTTGAATACTCCTATATTGTTGGGTTGGGATAATGGTTTAAAATGTCTAAATGTTTTTTTTTTTTTTAATATTACCACAATATATTTCCATTTCCAATGGTACTGGTACATACCAACGTGAGATATTAGAGGAATCTATCTTGATTTATTGCTTACTATATTTTATTGATAAGAAAATCTTTTATATTTTTCTCAGTAAGTTTTAATTTGTTAATCAAATCAGTATTAGGTTTTAATTACATGTACATATATATCTTCTAAATAATTTGTTTTAACATGATTCTTTTCTTAAAATTTACTATTTTTTCAAGTTTATCATTATAGATGTCTCTTCCCTTATTTTTCTTTATGAAATCTCTCTTAACTATACATATTTTAATAAATAAAATATATTTGATGTTTTAATATTTTTAAAATTTTAGGATAAACAATATAATAGTGTAAGAAGCATATTCATATTTAAATTATTTCTTTTATATTAAATAAAATATTATGGAATAACATTTACAGCTAAAATAACAAAATAGGTGCTACAAAGCAATTTTTTGATTTCTTGAATTTATTTGAAGTGGGGGAAGTACGCATTTTGAAATGGTGTAATCACTTAAAAAGCATAATTTTTATTCCTTTGTAACGATATAGTTATTTAATAGAGTATGCCCTTTTATAGTTTAAAAAAATATTAACAGATATTTTCTTGGATGAATATTTACAAAAGTTATAAAATGCTTACAAATAAATCTACGGAAAATTTCCGATATTTCTGACATATTGCTTATTTTTGAGTAATCAAAATTCCAACAAAACTGACTTTTTAAAACTTGGATGGAACTGTTTAAGCTGCTCATTAATCAACTTTCTTTCTGAAATCTCTCTCGTGATTTCATATCCTGTTTCCTCACCATCCACACTTTCCAAACCAGAGAGGCCATGTTTCGTATTTATCTCGGGGAACAGGGTTGTATTTTTCAGAGGGATGAAGTCATGCCCCGATTGGTAGTTATGCAGATTCATGATTAAGACTTAAATACAATATTGTTTTTTTTTTTTTTTTTAATTCAATCTTGTAAATTGGATGGTTTTTGAAAATAATCATCTCAAAGTGATGAAATCTGCTGCAATGCAACTGCAAAGATCATCTCTTGGGCTAGCACGTCTAACATTACAGCTGACTCATTATTTTGTAACTAACAACTTTTGTAGTTTTGTGAATTCAGTCACACATACACACATATTTTGATAGGAAGAGGTGACTTTTCATTAATGTATATTAAACAATACAGAGGTACTTTCCCCAAGGGTGAAGAATCTGACCCCACAAAAGAATACAAGATTATAACTCAGCCTAAAACAATTCACCCCTAGATACCCCATGCTTGGCCAATGTATCAGCCAAACCATTTGCTGATCTTCTCACTTATCGAACAGTTACACCGCTCTCTAGATAGGCTCCCTTTCTCTCTCATGGTTTACCTGTGTGTCCAAATCCCTGTACTCCCTTTTACTAACCACCTTACCACCATTTTTGGGTCCCCCTCCACTTCCACTTTCTGAAAGCCCGGCTGTCTTGCCAATCCCAGGCCTTGTAGGAATGCTAACACTTAAGCTGTGAGAGAAGCACCATCTCCTATAAGCCCAGAGTATATAATCACAACTTTCACTTATTCTAGTAGTCCCCAGATTTGTTTTTGAAGATAAATAAAAAATTTTGTTAAAACAAAAAAGAACAAGATACAAGGAAAGGTGATAAAGAATCACCTGAAAGAACACACCCAAAGTAGGAAAAACCCTCCCAACAAATCAAAAACATCAAAAACCAATCCCAAAGCAAGCAAAAAGAATCAACATGAAGACAACAAAACAGGCCACAAGCAAAAACCATACAAAACCCAAATCAAACAGAACCCCCACCCGACACCCATAGTGGAAAACCAGACCCACAATGAATTCCGAACTACTTCATTTTTTGACTACAATCTTCTTCATGTTGTCTTCTGGCTGCGCTTCTGTGTTTCCTTACTTTCTTGTTAGGTCCAAGGCCAAAGAAAACCTCCTCTTATTCTTGCAAAAACCTTTGAAACTGGAACCTGCTGTTGGCTTCTCTTAATCTTCTGAGTTTTGAATCTTCTTACTGTATTTAATGTTCCAGCAACTTCTTCCATCTTCCCCTCAGAATTCTGACCCCTATCTAAAACAAACTCCTCTCCCCCCCCCAAAACCTCTTCCTTTTCCTTGCTGTTATTCTCACTGCCTCTGTCTAACTTTTCCAACCCTTGATTTGAGAAGTTACTTGACTTGCCATCAACCACTGTATCAATTTTAATTTCGTTCTCCCCATTCCTTTTTTTTTTTTAATTTTTTGATTGGAAACGGTAGCTTCATTAAATAACTTTAATTTTGTTCTCCCCATTCCTTTCCTCCATAGACCTGAAGGCTTCCTTCACAAACTCCTCCCCTCCTAGGACAAATAGACCTAGAATTTTGCTAACTTCCACTTATTCACAACTTTTTCAATGCCATAACTAACCTCCACCTTATGTGTCTCATCTATCAACGGATCATCCTCACTTTCCTCCCTTGAGTCCAATTTCAGTGCCCTCTATTTTCTTCTGTTGTACAAGAGAAAGGGGGAGAGAAGAGGAGAGATGAGAGGACTAAGAGCCCAAAAGAATACTGCAGGCGTGCAGTATGTTATTATTTATACTAGGGCGACTGTACAACTTAAAAATAAGAAAGAAATTACAAAAGTACCCCTGCGGTACCATACATATATAAAATAACATCTGTTAACACTCTCCCTCAAGTTGGAGCATAGATATCAATCATGCCCAACTTGTCACAAAGATCATGATGTCTTGAGTGGTGTAGTCCTTTTGTAAAGATGTCTGCAAGTTGGTTCTCAGAGCTGACATAGGGAGTACGCACATCGCCTGTGATGACTTTCTCTCTGATAAAATGCTTGTCGACTTCGATGTGTTTTGTTCTATCATGTAGCATTGGGTTAGTAACAATGTTTATGGCTGCTTTGTTATCACATAATAGGGTCATAGGCTTGTCCACTAGGAAACCCAACTCACCCAACAGATTCTTTATCCACATACTTTCAGCCACTCCGTGAGCCATTGCATGATATTCAGCTTCAGCACTGGATCTAGCCACCACACTTTGCTTTTTACTTCTCCAGGTAACAAGGTTTCCTCCTATAAAGGTGTAGTAGCCACTAATAGACTTTCTGTCATTTTGAGATCCAGCCCAATCTGCACCAGTATACACTTCAACTTTTAAATGCCCATGTCTTTGAAATAACAAGCCAGCACTAGGAAACCTTTTAAGATATCGGAGGATTCTTTCTGCTGCTTCAAGATGAGTGGACCTAGGTGCATGCATGAACTGGCTAAGGACACCAACAGCATACGCAATGTCTGGGCGGGTCATAGAGACATATAACAATCTTCCTACAAGTCTTTGAAACTGTTTCACATCCTTGATAGGTTCACCTTGGCTGTCACCTAATTTATGGTTGGGATCAATGGGAGAATCAATTGGCTTCACTTCCATCTTTCCAGTGTCCTGAAGTAAATCTAGGACATATTTCCTTTGGGAAATGAAGATGCCCCTTTTTGAGCGGGCAACTTCAATTCCAAGGAAGTATCTAGGAGGCCTTAGATCATTTACTTCAAACTGTGTGGCAAGGAAACCCTTCAACCTCTGGATTTCATCCTTCCAGTCACCAATAACAATTATATCATCAACATATACTATTAAAGCAACAATTTTACCTTCTCCTCTTTTTACAAACAGTGTGTGATCTGATTGACATTGCTTGTATCCTTTCTGCTGAACCGCAACATGAAATCTGCTGAACCAAGCTCTTGGTGATTGTTTCAGCTCGTATTAAGACTTTTTCAACTTGCACACCTTCTGTTCATTGCCTTGAGCTTGGAAACCAGGGGGTTGTATCATGTAAACTTCCTCTTCAAGATCACCATTCAAGAATGCATTCTTGATATCAAGCTGATGTAGATCCCAATCAAGGTTAGCAACAAGAGAGAATAGGACTCTAATGGAGTTCATCTTGGCAATAAGAGCAAAAGTTTCTACATAATCAACTCTGTACACTTGTGTAAACCCCTTTGCCACTAAACGAGCTTTATACCTCTCCACCGTGGCATCAGCCCTATGTTTGACGGTGAACACCCATTTACATCCAACTGGATCCTTTCCCTTAGGAAGATCTACAAGTTCCTATATGCCATTTTTATGAAGGGCATTAATTTCTTCCTTCATGGCATCTATCCGTTCAGGTACTGAAAGAGTTTTTGCCACATTCTTGGGGATAGGGACACTGTCAATAGAAGTAAGAAAAGCACGAAAAGAGGGTGAAATGTTCTCATAAGAAACAAAGTTGGAAATGGGGTGTTTAGTGGTGTGCAATCTAACACCTTTCCTGTGAGGAATAGGAAGGTCAAGGTCATTAGCAATAGGGGTATCAATTGCAATGGAATCAGGAACATCATTAGGAGCCAAGTTACCTGAGTGAGTATGATCCGCCCCGAGGAGTTTGATGGCACTAGAGGTACAACTTCTAGATTCTCCATAGCTCTTGAATTTGGTTGGCCTTTGCGACGACGGAAGAAGACACGAAAAGGCGGAGGATTAGGAAGAGGAGGGAGTTGAACCAGTTTCTCCTCATGTCTACTCTCCCCCTGAGGAGAAACAGAAAAGAAAGGCTCATCCTCAAAGAAAGAGACATCCATGGAAACATAAAATTTCCGAGAAACATGATCAAAACAATGGTATCCCTTCTAAGTGAAGGAGTACCCCAGGAATATGCAAGGAGTAGCACGAGAATCCAATTTCCCACGAGTGGGAGACAGATTTTGGACAAAGCACCAACAACCAAATACACGAGGAGGAATGGGAAGAAGGGGGGCCTTAGGGAAGAGAAGCTGATGTGGGGCTTTGTACTCTAACCACCGAGAGGGCATACAGCTAATGAGGTAGGTAGAACAAAGAACAGCCTCAAGCCAAAAACGCTTGGGGACATTCATATGGAGTAGTAAACCCCGAGCCACTTCAAGGAGATGTCGGTTCCGTGAGATCACTATGATAACTCTTTCGCATTATCTGATTGAAAGATTTGGATTTTAGTTTGAAATTGAGTGAAGACCATCCGCTGAAAATCTTGGATAATTTTTTGTACTTCCTCCCTGGTTCGCATGGGATATACCCAAGTATATCTAGAATAATCATCAAYGAKGGTAATAAAATACTTGTAACCACTCTCAGATGGTAAAGTAACAGGGCCCCACACATCAGAATGAACAGTGTGAAATGGAAATTCAGATTTATTATTTTTTGGAAGAAAATGAGTTCTACAATGTTTACTCAATTGACACGTTTGACAAGAGAAATTTGAAACGGACACTGACTTAAATAGTTCTGGAAACACAACTTTTAAAGACTCAAAAGACAAATGACCAAGGCGACAATGCCATAAATAAACATGACTCTTACAGGACTGGCTCATAGACTCTGTAACATGAAGACCAACTTTATTCTCCAGCATGTAAAGTCCATCAACCATACGTCCTCTACCAATTGTCCTCCCCGAGTTTAGATCCTGGATCACATAGTAAGAAGGGAAAAAGGTCATTGAGCAGTTTAAGGAATTAGTAACACTAGTAACAGAGAACAAATTAATGGGAAATTTTGGAACATGTAGAACATTAGAGAGGGTAAGTCCAAAGGGATGAGAGATGGTTCCTTGACCAGCTATGGAAGCATATGATCCATCAGCTAGTCTCACCTTGTCTCTTCTAGAAAGAAGGTGATAGGTTTGAAAGTAAGAAGACATACCAGTCATGTGTTTTGACGCTCCAGAATCAATGATCCAGGGAGAGTCAAGGGTATGAGAAGCAACATGGAAAGCTGTGGCAGAGTTACCTAATGTAGATGCGAATGAGGTTGAGGGAAGAGCATCCATTTGACGAATAGCTCTACCATAGAGCTCTAAATGGTCACGAAAGGAATTCATAATATCCTCCCTTCGGTTAGATCCAGAGGAATGTGTTTGAGTCACAGTATGGATGGGGGGCTGATTCTCTCGAGTAGCCATGTTGGCCATAGTGTGTTTCTTTGTACCTTGCTGTCTTGACCTTTTATTCACATTTGAACTTTGCTTCTTATTCAGATCTTGAGTTCATTTCGGTTTCCCATGAAGATCCCAGCATGTATCTCTAGTGTGTCGAGGTTTCTGGCAATGAGTACACCACAATTTTTCTTTATCTTCCGTTTTTTTCTGGAGATCTCCTTTCTTGGAAGAATTTCCCACACTGGTAGAGACACCCCCTTTTGCTTCCAATACAACTGCATCTCCACCAGGGTTGTTCATCAAATTCCTTCTGCGCTCTTCAGATTCTACAAGAGCATAAATTTCCTGAACTGATGGAAGATCCTTAGAACTGAGAATCTAGACTCTGATAGATTCGTACATAGGGTTCAAACCATGTAAGAAGGCAAACACTCTCTGCTGGGAGACAAGTTTCTTGTACAGTTTTGCATCCTCGTCACATTTCCAGTCCACACTCTGATAATGGTCCAACTCCTTCCAGATAGAAGTCAAACCAGAATAATATACCGGTAGACACCTCTCCCCCTGTTTACAAGTAGGCGACTCTGCCTGTAGTTGATAGATCCTTGCATAGTGTCACAGTTCTGAGTATGTTGATTTTGCTTGTTCCCATATCTCATTTGCCGTTTCAGCCCACATGAAATTCTTCCTTATTTGAGGTTGCATAGAGACTAAGAGCCAAGACATAACCATGCTGTTCTCCTGATTCCATCTATCATATTCAGCACTCCCAGAGTGTGGTTCTTTAATTCTCCCATTAATATAACCTATCTTCCCCCTTGCAGTGATGTACAGCTTGATCCCTCTTGACCACTCTAAATAATTTAAACCATCAAGAGGGACAACAGCCATGGGAAAGGATAGGTCTACACCCCCACTCATTACATTCAGCATTGAGGAAACTTCAGATGTAGCAGAATCTTCACCACTCATGATTTCAGATTTAAAAACAACACCCCCCAAAAAAAAGGAACACAGCCACAAAGAGTTATTATAGAAGGTACCAGCCACTTCCAGACCTTCAGTCCACCAAAAAAACTGCTGTTGCAGCACACAAACAAGGTCCTTATGACCTATGGTTTCACAGGGTTCCAAAAAACAAAACTGATGTTGCAGCACATAAACAGGTCCTTATGACCTACGGTTGCACAGGGATCAAACAACCCCACAACAGAAAGTAAAGGAAGAGGTGAAGCTCACCACACATCTAATCGGTAGACCTGGAAGCCGAACAGCAGATGGACACAACTGGAAGATGAAGAGACAGACTGCTCGACTTCACCTTTCAAGCCTGGACGACCTGCTCTGATACCATGTTGTACAAGAGAAAGGGAGAGAGAAGAGGAGAGACGAGAGGACTCAGAGCCCAAAAGAATACTGCAGGCATGCAGTATGTTATTATTTATACCAGGGCGACCGTACAATTTAAAAATAAGAAAGAAATTACAAAAGTACCCCTGCGGTACCATACATGTATAAAATAACATCTGTTAACATCTTCCAAGGGAAAAGTTCTGTATCTTTTCCTTTTATATGTTCTTACTCCATCTCCACTCCTGTTTCCTACCCCCTCACTTCCCCTTCCCTCATTCCCTTCTCATCTCTCTCCTTCCTTCTCCACTAAACCATAACCCCCTTTCCTTCCTCTTCCCCAATTGTGTCTTGATTGCTCTCCCCCTCTTCCCCAATTGTGTCTCCATCTCATTCCCTCATAGCCCTCATCACCTCTTCACCTTTTCCTTCTTCCGTTGCCACTCTTTGCTCTTCTATATCTCCACTTTTCAATTCTTTCGTGACCTCTTCGTTACCACCAGAGCCTTCTTGTAAACCTTCATTGTCCTCTACTTTTTTATGTTGGTGAAAATTACCTTCAGAATCCTCTTGGACTTCTTCGCTTCCTCGCATCTCTTTTCTTCCTTGTCGAAATTTTCTGCAATCAATAACTCCTTATTTTTAGGGAACAACTCTACTTTTCTCCAAATGAATCCTTGGGCGTCATTAATTTTCTCTTCTATGATCTCCTTCTCTATTGATCCCTCTTCATTTGTTATATTTCCTGCTTGATCACTTAATCCTTCGGTGCCTCCTGTTGTCCCTTGCATCAAACTTGAAAAACCAGGGCTAATGTCTTTGTAACCAGTAGTTTTAACGAAGGCTCACCGGGATTATCTGACGAGTTGCTAAAAGACCTCACAATTCCGCCTGGTTTGGGCTGCTCCTCCTTGAAACCCAACCTTCTCTCTTTACCTGTAATATCACAAAACCTATTAGAATTCGGTTCAACCGGAGCACCCGAAGTTGAAGAGAACACACTCTTCCATTTCTCAAAATTCATTTCCCCTTTTTTCAAAATCATTTTATATTTCCATCTTTTCCGAGGAATGACAGCTTCCTTCAAAGTTTTATTTAAATTTTTGACAAGCTGTAGGGGTCCAAATCTCCTGAATAGTAAACCTTTTTTGTTGAGGAAGTCACCACTGCATTCCACTTTCTTATAAACAAATCTAAGGATTTTTGCCAATGTGCAACCCTGAAAGAGATGTTATCAATAAGCTCACTTTACCCGCTCTTGAAAGATGTGGTTATTTCTTTCCTCCAATGATGCCCAAACTATTGCTGCTCTTGCATCTCTCCACATTGACCTACCCCCGTTTTGATTGTCTGAAGAAGATTGCATCAAAGAATCCTACAACACAAGAGAGGGGTGTCCACCTGTAAGCTGCAACCAAATAGAGAAGAAAACAAATCCCAAATGCCTGATGCAAATGAACAAGAGATTGTAAATTCACATTACAGTGACTGGATTGGGATTTTCTCCCATTTATACCTCAGTAATACTTTGCCTTTCCTCAAAAAAGAAAAGAAAAAATCTTGTTAATTTTGCAGTTATGAAAGTGGTGAGTTACTTATCAAAGATGAAAACTAAATGTAATTAGACAAAAATTTGAACATGTTTCTTTCATGATTACAGGTGCGCAAGCTCCAAAGAGCATGTTTGAGGAATCCTGTGAAGGTGGGTGGAACAGTGTTGTCCATTGGTATTCATTGATGAATCTCAATGTTTTGCATATTATATTCATGTCAGTTCCTATGTGTAATATTTAACTCACAGTTTTGTTGGAATGTGTAACTAATGTTAGTTCTATTGCATTCAGATAGAGGTGGCATCTAAATATTCCACTGTTGATACTTTGAAGCAGCAATACCGTTTTATTCCCCATAAGTATAAGGTAGTTTCCTTCCCAATGTTGATTCTGTATAAAATGTAAAATGTACAGTCTGAATATTATATTTATAGACAGAACTAAGGGTGTCTAGCATAGATAATGGATGGGCAGCAATACCCACAGTGCATGTAGTTGTGAGTTATCTTATAGGTAAAACTCAAATGTATATCGGAAGGTTTCGCTAGTTGACATCACTTTCTTTTATGTTTACTGTTTATTGTTTTTTTTTTTTTTTACAGTGATCTGATACATCTTATGTTTGGATGATTGGGAATAAATCTGGGAAATAATCACAATATCCCAAGTGGGGTATTCCAAGTGATAGGTCCTAAAATTGATTGTATGTTTCCAAATAATACATATACTTAGCATGCTATATCAAACATTTGGGGCCCATTGTGGGTTGCATGAATCTTGTCTTTAAGAATTATTTAAATTATTAATAGATGTGTCAGTTCTTATCATTTTTATTCATAAATATGATATATTCTTTTTTGCCTATGTTTGTAGGAGTGCTATCTTGTATATATTCTTACTGAGATGTCTGGAAGTACATCAATGGTCTTTACCCGTACATGTGATTCCACTAGGCTTCTGGCATTGCTTCTTCGAAACCTTGGATTAAGGGCCATCCCTATTAGTGGTCAAATGAGTCAGGTATTTGCTTCCCTTTGTTGATGTACATTCCCACTCATGGTGCTCTTAATATTTAGTTATATCATGCCCATGAATTTCCTTGTGGAAATACACTCTACAGGCAAAGAGACTTGGAGCATTAAACAAGTTCAAGGCTGGTGAATGCAACATACTCATATGCACAGATGTGGCAAGTAGAGGGCTTGATATTCCTAGTGTTGATATGGTTATCAACTATGATATCCCCACCAATTCCAAGGTTAGGTTCCTACTTCTCCTTTGGACCCTGGCCTTGTTGCCGTCTGTGGCAGACAGGCGTAACAAATGAGAACAATCAATGGTATTAGATGTAGGTTTTGGCATGACAATAGTTATCAAGGTTGCAAGGTAAGACCAGATTATTGTGTGTTTAGGCAGGTGCCCGGATTATTGTGTGATTCATATTAGATGTGCCGAACATCAATTACTTATTTTTTGTATCGAAAAATACTAAAAGGAAGACATTAATAATGACATTTGTATATGAGGACACATTACATAACAAATTCTTTTAGGTAATACTTCTTTCCTAAATGTCCGTACTTCTTACATAATATAATTAAATTCCAGTAGACAAAGTAGCAAATCATATTTTAAATCATGAATTTCCATATGACAAGAATTAAATGAAATAAGCAAATTAACAAGTTAATAGAATACTGAATCCAAGCAGACAACTATAACAACACATTGAGGCCAAGCAAATTAAAAAAGTAACTGTACATTGAATACAGGCATGCAAATATTACAGCAAGAAGCCAAGCAAATAAGCAACGAAAGAAAATACTAATATAATGGTTCTGAGCATGTACTTCAGAAGGCTTCAAGCATGTCAAATTTCAAGGCATAATATAATGCTATGCTACCCTCTAAAAATTATTTTCACATCTAGACATTGCCTTCATAACCTTGGTCATGACAAACATTTTAGGCACTAAGGGTGTCAATTTCTGTTCCAACCCACTTGAACCATCAAACCCATCCACTTATATCCACCCATTTAAGATGTGGATTGAATGTGGGTTGTCATCCATTGGGTCAAACAAAAATGGTTGGGTTATGTTGGGCCATGGGTCTCCATTTGGGTCAACTGCATAGAAGAGCTAAGTATGTCACTTTCTCATAAATTTTATTCTCTCTTCCCCCCAATTTCTTTACTCTTTCCTATTCTCTCTTCTTTACTCTCTCTTCTATCTCTCCCATCCAATATGTCTCCTCTGCTGCCTCATCTCTCCTCTAACCTCTCTTCTCTCTTTATTCTTTATTGTCTCCCTCTAGACTCTTTCTCTTGGTTCTCTCATATATCTCTGCTCTATATCCTTTCTCTCTGTCTTTTTTAATGAAGTCCATTTTTTGTATTTGGGTTGAACTATGGTTTAAAATGTCCATAAATTTCCTAACATTTCCAAAACATATTTTCATTTCCCTGCATAGCAAGACGAAATTTTACTGGAATAGACATGTTACTTAGAGCTGTAAAGTGAGTTGAGCCGCCCGTAGGCTGGCACAGGCTTGCACAATTTGGGTCATGCTAGGCCTGGCCCTAAAATGGGCTTGGGTTTTGAGGCCCACAGACCAGCATGGCATGACCACACACACACACGCATATATATATGTATGTATATATAATATATAATAAGTATTATTCATAAAAAAAATATATAATAAGTATTATAATAATATATATATATATAATTTTTTTTCTATATATAAACAATTGTATACATCAATATTCATGTGGAATAGAAATTTAACTTTTTTTGCAATTTATTGATTATCTTTTAATTTATTTTAAATTTTACATTATTTTTTTCAGTTTTTTCTAAAACAAATCGTGCTACCCACAGCCTGGCCCAGCCTAGCACGGCATAGGCCCACATGGGCTTGTGCCGTGGTTTGGGCCAAGTAGGCACAACCTGCAAAAGTGGGCCATGTTGGCCTGGCACAGTCCACGTTACTACATATATTTTCTCTTGAGCTCATTCCAACATGTGGTTTAGAATCTTCAAGGTGTACCGGACAACTTCACCACGTATTGTTTTAATACAATTTTAGTTTTTTATCTTTGTTTAATGATTTGTAACAAGAAAATAATTTAAAAGGATCTGCTCATGCTTCTTTTATCATTTCATAAAGTATATTTTTTTTTATATATATTTTTAAATGTTTCCACCATGTCTATAATGTTTATGATATTTCCAACATATTTCCAATATTTGGATGGTCCACATTTCCACCGATACTGACATTTTAAACCCTGAACCAATCAAGTAGGGACATATGGCATTACCGGAGAAACCCACAGATATTTTTTTTTCTTTAATAAGGGTGAGGTTACATGGTTTTAAATATTTAAATGGGTCAGGATCAATGGTTTAGGTCATGTTGCAACCTATGTACATATTAAAAATATGAGTTATTTAATGGATGTGGGTGGTTGATGGATGCATTGGTCTTCAACCTGCATCCACCCAACCTAATCCATCCATTTGCCAGTTGGGCTGCAACTTGAGCTGGGTTAGCCTGAACCCAGCCCAAAAAGTTGGGTTGGGTTGGGTTAGGGTTGAGCCTTGACCAACCTGAACCCGGCCTGACTTCATTTTTGCATGTATAAATACTATATAAATATGTATTTATGCATGTAAGCATGGTTTTCGAACCGCCGTTGACCCGGACGGTTGGACCGTTTGGCCCGGGAACCATCCAGGAAACTGGCTCCATTTTACCCCAAACCCTTTTCCTGAAAAAAAACCGTTGAATCAGTCAACGACCCGTTGACCTGGGCAGTCAAACCGTCGACCCGTTCAATTGTTTTTCCGTTTTGGCCGTTTTTTATTTTTATTTTTATTGTCAGAATGGGCTGTCCGTTTGAACTGGACGGTCGAACCGTCAACTAGGCAACCAGTGGCCAGAAAGGTTCTGTTTCTGGGTCATTTTTTAAACCATGCATGTAAGTACTTGCGTATGTATTATTATGCAACTATGCATCCACAAATGTTTATATCTACATATTTATGTATTTATTCACTGCAAGTATTTATGTATTTATGTATATACATATTCTATACATGTATGCGTGTATATTGTATATACGTATTCTATACATGTATGTGTGTATGTTCTTTTACACATAATAATGCTAATATTGAATTAACATGGACCCTTGGAACCTAGACATTTGACAAAAGGAAGTAGAGAGGTTAGGCCTACCTGAGACTATTCCGATCCTAACCTAACCTGGAGTTTTAGGGTTGGGGCCTTGGGGGTCAACAACTCGGTTTGGGGTTGACCTCAACCTGACCTAACCTGGCCCAGTCTGCACCCCTATTTTCCACCCCTACTGGTGACAACCAATTTCTGATAATGGAAGGATACTCCTTTACTCATCAAGAACTGTATGTTTTTAAAGACAACAGCATCCAAGCAGGGTTCTGCCTTTTAATTATGAATGAGTTCAAATCACCACCCAAATATGTTTATTTAATTTATGCATTAATCTGTTAATCTTGGACTGGTGCTGTAACAACATTTGAACCTTTTTTGCAGTCTTTTACTTGGGTTATGTTTGGATAAGCTTCAAGATTTGTGCTTCTAAAGCCCCAAAGCACAAAACCCCAGTTTTTGGCTTTATGCTTGGGGTTTAAAAATGCCTTGGCTTCGGAAAATGCTCAAAACATTTTTTACTTCAATTTTATTTTTCAGAGCCCAAAGCACAAGAACAAAATATTATCCAAAGAGAGCCTTAGAAAATCTTTGACAGTTCACTGACAAGAAAAAATGGTATACAGGACTACATTCATAGAGTGGGAAGAACTGCTCGTGCAGGACGATCTGGGCTTGCAATCTCATTAGTAGATCAGTATTCATTGGAATGGTATCTCCTGATAGAGAAGCTTATTGGTAGGTTATACTTGGTAATACTTTTACTGCCTGGGAAAATACTAACATAATGGAAGACATACCAAAGTATATAACATTATTTGTGTTTCAGGCAAAAAGCTTCCAGAGTTTCCTGCTCAAGAAGAGGAAGTTCTATTACTGCTGGAACGTGTGGCTGAGGCAAAGAGAATCTCTCAAATGGTAGTATTACTATTATTGTTGTAGCTGTTGCATAATCATCAACCATTTACATTATTGTTATGAATGGTTCTGTTAGGAAAACATGATTGAGCTTTTCTCTCTGCTTATGGTCCATAGTAGTGAATTATGAGGATGATCAAGGTCCATTATTGGATGGACTTGATTAGGATGATGCTCTGAGTCAAATATTTGGATGTCATCTAATCTTCATCCTTTGTGGCTTTTAATGAGACAGGAGATGAGCAATTCCAGCAAAGATTCTTAGATAGGATATCTCAGTTGTAGGGTGGTCATAATTACTGGGGAAAAATGTATCCTTTTTGAGCCCCAATCCCATTAATGTCCTAGATTTTCTGGACTATTGCCAACAACAATACGTATGATTTTAGTGATCATTGTGGAACCCGTGTGGTCATGCCATCATGATAAAGCTGGGCTGAGTTGTTGTGTTGTTACTGTTACTACAACATGATGCTGCACAGCATTTCTGAAAGGAACTGATATAGACTAAACAAATAAAGTTTTCAGGACAAAAATTTAAAGCAAGGAGTTCACTTGAGTTTTTAATGCTAATTTATCTTTCTTATAGAGATCTGGAGCCCATAGTTCTCTGTGGCTCAAAAACCCTCTTGTTTTTGCTTCACATTTATTTTCATAACATGGTCCTTTTCATTTATTTCTGTAGAAAATCAAAGAGGAGGGACACAAAAGGAAAAGAAGAGGGGATGATGTCGAGGAAGAAGATAGATTTACTCTAAAAAATGCGAAATCATTAAAGAAGTCAAAGAAGCGGTGATCACTAACATCCTCGGCAATTTTGGTAAATTTTATATTTTTGTTCTTTATCATTGGAATTCCTACTTTATTTTGTTTGTAATATTTTCAAGTACAATGGAGACACTTACCAAAATATAGTATAATGTAAGCACTGTACTGTGGTGTTGAATGAAATCCAACATCTGCCATTGGTCTTCGAGGTCTTGATTGCAAGGAATACTGTAGTGACAGTTAAATTTTTGCTTGTAACTTGCACAAGGAGTTAACTTCTTGTGTAGCAGTTCGAAGTTGATATAGGGGATGGTGATGACATAGCTAGGTAAAGGCTTAATATTGATACCCTTGTAATTTAGCGGATCTAGAGTGTTAGAAATTGGTTGGCTTCATCTTCAAGTGTGAACTTGAGTATCCATTCGTTGGATATGGTGGCCAAAGCAGTCTGTTTGAACTGGACAGTCGAACTGTTGACCTGGAAACTGGCGGTCAAAGCAGTTTCGGTTCTGGGTCAGTTTTTTAAACATTTGTTTAAGGTATCGGTATACTTTATAGACAAAAGAGTTTTTTAAACATTCCTTTTCTTTTTTGGTTTTTTGTCAGGGTCCTATCACGTTATCTTTTAATGTTTCAAAACTTTCAAATCCCCAAACTCCCATTTCGGTGACCCCAAAATACAATACAAATACATTCGATATCAATACTTTGATCTTTGCCTATTTGAATACTCATCAACTGGATATAGGATGTATCATAATAATACTTTGGATACTCATCAACCAGGAAGAAGATGCTTCAATATCTCAAACATATTGTCAATCATGGTACTATCTTGTCAATTCAAAGCTGGGTTTGAGAGAAACTTCTTAAGGAATTTCACAAAATCTGTTTATCTGTTAATTTTTAACAAGCCAAACAAAGCGTTGGTTGCAAGTATGCAACCTGATTGGACTTGGTAAGGCCTGGCCAAAGAGTCTAGCATGAAACAATGGAAAATCTTCAATCGGGTACCTGATGCACCTCCTTTCTTTGATTCTTTAGACAGGACACCCCACCTAAATGATCGTCATTTACAAGGAGGGTGTTGTATATATTTTGGTCAAAAATCTTGATTTTTTGAATAAACAAAATATTGTGTTAATGTCCCCCCGCATTAAACCCAAATAAAGAAGCCTTGTCTCAGAAAATGCTTTTTTTTTTAACCCTATTGTGTCAGCAAATGCTGATTTAACACGTGTTTAAATACTTCTATAATAACTTGGTATTCATTTGGTTGCTACCTTGCTACCCTTTCTTTTGGAAAATCCTATTTACAATGCCGGAACCAAGCATATCTAATTAGTATTCCATTTTACTCAACAGAAGGTTGCTACTATATGTTTAGTTGTTTAGTTCCCACACGCTCAATATTAGATAGCTGATGTCCTTACAAAGTTGTTGCCATCTCATTTTGTTTTTCTTCTGAATAATCTCATTCTACTTCAACCCATTTCGCTTGAGGGGGTTGTCAGAGATAAGTGCACATAGTTACCCTTTATGGACATCTTAAAGTGTAATAAAAAATCACATAATAATTTAAGGTTTTCCTTTGCATTTTACAATGACCATAGATTTAGATCGAGTTGTATCCTGTTTTATTTTTTATAGAAAATAGAAGGTAAACTAATAAAGATTTCTTTTAATGATTGACTATCACAAATTCTTGGAAAAGAAAAAATGAATAAAAAATAAAAAAAAGCCTAGCATAATTTCATACTTAAACCAAGGTTCAAAGTATCGATACGTATCGGCCCATATCGACTGATATGTATCGTGCTGATGGCTTACCGATATGCTCCTCCAGGGATTGTATTGGGTCAGCCATCGGTTCAAAGGGTAGCCTGGCCTTAAACTGACTCCTCTGAACCGGTTTCAAAAAAAATAAATAAAACTTTAAAAAAATGTACCGACACAAGCTGATACACCTTATCGGCGTATTGGCCCATGTCGATATTTAGAACCTTGACTTAAACATTACACTGATTATTAATACTTGACTGCCACAAATTATCAAAAAACCTTTTATTGCTCTAGATAGCCAGCCCAAGAGGTGGGGTGAATTGGATATTTAAAAACTTTTCCCTCTTTTTGACATAAAGCCTTCTAATGAGTATGAGTGCAAGAACATATAGGCTCCGTTTGGTTGGTGGGATGGGGATGAGATTCCCTTTTCTCTTATTTGTTTTGAGGGAAACAGAGGGATGAGATGAGCAAAATGTGGGATGCCAGATCCAAAAATCATGGAATCGGGGTTGCACCAAAACAGTGCGACCCCGATGGAAAAACTCGAGAAACCATTGTTACCACTTACCATTGACGACAAACAGGGAAGGGATGGGCTGAGAAAAACGAACCAGTGACGATGAATAGAGGAGGGAGAGAAATAGTGTGACTCCGTCTTCCTCCCTTTCTCAGCGATCGCTCATCTTCCTCACCTTCTTCTTCCTATTCTTCCTGTCTTCCCACTCCTATCTCTCTCTCTCATTCCCTCATTTTCCCTCTCTCGCTCTGTCGCTTTGATCGCTGCTGCTTTCTCAACCCTACTTTCTTTACTTCAGATCCCAAATTCATCCTCTATTATAGAGAAAGTGTGAAGAAGGAGGGGACCACTGTGCAGTGGTCAATTGAGCACCGGCGGAGGACCTCTTCGGAGCTTCAGTTATGGAGTTCTCTATCTCTCCCTCCATTTTCCTCTTCTCTCTTCTCCCTCCTAACAGTGTTTTCCTATTATTTTCCCATATATAAAACCAAACAATGGAAAGATAAATTTTTACACTTTCCCATCCCACCCAAATCTTCCTACAAACCAAACATAGCCATAAAGAATATTTATACAAGTTTGACCAATTCCGACCTACATCCTCTACTTAGGACCCTTCTAAGATTTTCACTAAATCAAACCGATTGATCTTCCCAAGTGCCAATCAACCTTCACAACCCAGGACTTAGGACTTAGGACTGCCAGGTGCCTACTAAACCTGAATAGATTTTCTTAGTACTATTTTTACCAATAGTGGTGTGAAACTCTTGAAACACCTTAAATTACAAATGGTAACAATAAAGGCACATATACAAATACAATGCCTCTCAATAAACAGATATATAGACAAGTACACAACAAATTAGTATCAAATGTAAGAAATGCAACATAATATGGGTCAACTCAAAAAGAGATAAATCCTTGTGAGAAACATATAAGCCACAATGACTACTCATTCTTTTTTTTTAACATAAACCGATTTAAGCTCAAAGAACTTGTCTCTTTTGAAAACTCTTGCTCAAAGCTGATGCTCTCAGTATAGTAGATACTTCTCTTGATCTTGGCTCTTAAAAACATCATTTTATAAGATGTTGAAAATAAGTGATCCTTAGAGAGACATTGGAGAGAATCATATTGATTTAGAAAATGTTTTAGAACAATCTTTTAATGAATGGAACGTTCTCCAAAAGAAGAAACTAGCCGTTGAGCTTTCAAATAGTCATTTCTGATTGCAAGCAAACGACTGATAACTTATATTGGTCGACTACCACTCATAGGAGGAAACTTATTTTATCTAGTAGTCAACCAATCCCTTATATTAGTCAACTAACAAGTTGTGTCATTTCTCGACTGTTAAAGGTAGTCGATTCATTAGAATGTTGTAGTAGACTCATAAATAGTGATAGTGTATTTTATGCCTCGGCTATCAAAGGTAGTTAACTCATGAACCACACATGATTTGATTCCAAATGACCACACATTGTAGCCAATGTCATCTTTGGAAAGATTTATCGTAGATGATAATTGCCTAGTGTTTCTATTCATGCCTTACTTCATCAAGCATTTGTTAATCATTTTTATTTCAGTGGAAACAGTTGTAAACTTAGCAAAAACCATTTTTATTCTTAACGAGTTTGTTATCATCAAAACACATAGGGCCAACACTTTCCCTTCTCAAATCATTACAAATAGATTGCCATAAATCCATACTTAAACCATTACAAATTGTTAGGCAATTTTCACAAATCCTTACTATTACAAATTGATATAATGCATATCTACTTATTTCACATTTAAATTACCCTATTAATTGGTCTCTAAAATTTCAACACAGGTCACCCAAGTAAAATGGAAAGATTCTTACTATTGAGCTATGTTGCTATAATTCGTTGAAACTACACGTGCTTTAAGTTAATATTTAATTGGCCACTGAAAATAGAAAAGTTTGCTAATTTAAGCCATATTTTAATCCTTCTACCATTTTCCTTTCTTAGGTATATCTTAATAATTTATACTTCACTTGTACTATTGAGATACATTTAGTTTTATTGGTGTATTTTTAGGATTTTTCTTTTGAATTTCCCTAGTGCTTCTGTTTGTATCTTAATTTCTTTCATGATATCCATGTATTCCCTAAATGTATCTCGATGTGTTTCTAAAAATTGCCATCCCAATTCTATATATAATTTATGTATATATAAATATTATTTTATATTTTTATTAATAAAAGATGTTGAAATTTGAGATTTGAGCCTAAAAGGGTTATTTTTGGAAATAATGGTGGGCGCAAAATACCTTTGGCTCATTTGGGCACATAGATCTTGAAAAATTACCTGAAATTGATATAAAAATCACCCTAATTAGACAACCAAGTGCAAAGTTATATATATATATATAACAAAATAAGAAAATAGACATATCAAATAAAAGTTGTTCGGCCCTTTAAGAAAGATTTGGGGTGGGACCCAATGTATTTGGCCCGTTAGCCCAAGGAAACATAGTGGGCCATAGGTTTAAGCTTCAAACTTTTGAGAGAAAATCCTAAATTCAAATCTGTGATTCAGTGAACAAATTGGCCAAATCTTGGATTTGGATATAGTGAATCCAATTTAAAAAGAAACCAGCACATAATGGGGGTTGATTGATCAACCAAATTTAGAAACCATGGTCGTACAAATAAGTTGAACGTTGCATAGGCCCAACCCCTTTGCTAAGTGGCGCTTGGCCCTAAGTAATTGGGAGACAAATCTAACGCATTATCCTAATTTGCGTTTAAATGGGGTCATAGATTGATCACCGAACTATCAATCTAGTGGGCCCACATTAATTACACTAGCTGGCCGAATTCAAATTCCTAGTTAGATCTGTCTAAGGGAAAACATTATAAATAGATAAAGGAACAAGAGCAAGCTCTCTCCTTCTTTGGTTCTCCCTCTTTGGTTC